GTGATGTTTGATGAGTGTTTGATTAGTGTGTGATGAGTGTGTGATGTTTGATGAGTGTTTGATTAGTGTGTGATGAGTGTGTGATGTTTGATGAGTGTGTGATGAGTGTGTGATGTTTGATGAGTGTGTGATGAGTGTGTGATGTTTGATGAGTGTGTGATGAGTTTGTGATGTTTGATGAGTGTGTGATGTTTGATGATGTAGACAGCCTGTACTGTCTGCACAGACAGCCCATGCTGTCTGCCAGCATTAGTTCATATTTCGCGCCACTCAGGTGCTGCCATCTATAGGCCTTGCCACTTCAGTATGCCCAGACTTGCCTCTCACTCACTCACACAGCGGCCTAGCAGGAAGTCACAAGTACTCCCAGCTCTCTCTCGTTTTAAAGGCCCTGGGGGGCCCATGGGCTCAAACCCCACAAGCCTGAAAAACCCCAACCTTTACTTAACAAAAAACCCAAAAAAACCCTCCGAAGAGGGGTATATCATTAACCCCGGGCTCAACAGCCTCCCCAAAACCAAAACTCGTTTAAATGGTGGCAGCGGTGGGATAAAGGCATTTTTTTCCCCGTGAGAGAAGGGTAAGGGATGAAGTCACCCTTCCCTTTTCACCCACCCTACACCAAAAAGCATCCTTTCTCTAAAGAGTTACCCTTTGATTCGTGTCTGCACGTTTGAGCACCCCAGACACAGGTAAAAGCAGGTTTCCACCGGAAATTTGTCGAAATTCTCCGAGAATTGAAAATGGCGCCCCAGGCCCCCACGTTTGTTTCTCAAGTCACGTGTTCAGCGTCATTTGTATTTTTGCTGTTTTTTTGTTCAGCTCAGCACAGCCGTTTCAGCAAGCCGAGGTGAGTTTTGTGGTGATTTCTGCGCCCCAGTGGGGTTTTTCCCCCACTTTTTGTGGGGGGGGGAAAAGGAGGGGAGAGGAAGGGGCCCTTTTCCCTCACCTTTCCCCATGCTCGCCCCCCCCCAAGGCACCACCCACGCTCCAGCCCCCACAAACCCATACACCACCCCACACTACTTCATTTCCCTCTGCTGTTTTTTTCTGCTTTTTTTTTTCGTGTGATTCGTCGCCAGTGCTGGTACCCGAGTCCCCGGGGCCCCACTCAAAAGCTACGTGGATTACAAACGTCACAGGGGTTTGTGGGGGGGGTTAAACGTGGGCCTAAAAACCCCCCCCCCCCGTGAGTTACCAATGTCCCAAGGCCCCCATGCTGGTTTTGCTGCCCGCTTCACATCGACGCCCCCCACGATGCCCCCGCTTCATGACGTCCCAAAGTCTGTGACGTCACCTCCGATGTCTGCTGACTTTCCCCTTCACGTGTCTGCCTGACGTCCCTCAGATGTCTGCTGAGGGTCCCCCCGAGATGTCGGGCCTACCCCACCTCGAAAATTTTGCTGTCGTCTCAGTCCGCGACGTCACCTCGGGACACCCACACCTGACATCACATGTTTTCCCACCATCGATTTTTTCCCAGAATTATTTCAGTATTTTTTTTGGGGGAAAAAAAAAGATTGAGAAAGACATATGTCGTGTTTTAATTAATTCCCCCTCAGTGTTTCTCCCATTTTAAGTTTTTAGAAGTTTTTATGCAAAAGAAAAGCTCTTTTTAGTTAACCCATGTTGTTCCCGTAGTAAAATTTTAAAGCGGTGGTTTGTAAGTTTTCCTGTGCCCAGTGAGGTCTGTGGTCAGACCCCTAATTTGCACCACTGTGTTAATTCACCCCCCTGACCAGGGGTTTTTAAACAGCTATCAAAACAGCCCGAGTGACTGAGCCCCTTGTACAAAAAGCTTTTGCCCCGTCGTCGTTTTGTTCTGCAGAATCTTTACCTGCTACGTTTCCCCTTTCGAGATTTGTTTCCCAATCCCCCCCCCCCTCCAGAGTGCAGTTATTTTAAAGGGGAAACAAGTCTGGGGAGGGCTTTGGGACAAACCCTTGTTTTAAAAAACCCCCACCTTCGGGGAGAGAACCGCCCCAAGGGCCGCGGGCCGGGCCCTTCGGCAGGGCTGTGTCAGCCTCGTTTTTCCACAAGCTTCAGTGAGCGGGCCTGCACAAAGAAGATGTCACTTGACTGCTAGCTTTTCTCACTGAAAGTCTGGGGGTATGATGTTAGGGACTCCCAGATGTTTCGCCCACCCGTCCCCTCCCACGACTCCCCCCCAAAACCTCGCCCCAAACGCTCGCCGGAAAGGACAGCCCAGCAGGACATTTCCAGTCGGGGAAGTGTCCTCCTGTTTCCCCCTTGCCAGAAGTCCTCCCCTTTGCCGGTTTTGCGCCCGCCTCACCGGGGGCACCCCCATGTCGTCCCCCAGGTTTGGTAAAACCTGCAGCGACTCCTACGATGTCTGCTTCACCTTTTCCAGAGGAAAACCGTCCCCTTTTTACGTCCAGCTCAGCCGCAGCGATGTCTCCCGTGTTTGCGTATCTGTCCAGACGCAGGAAGGCGTGCAGTGGGTTTCACTTCGATGGCCCCACTGCCCTTTACCACGATGTTTAGCACACCCCACTGTTTTTTCTTTCCCCCCTGTAGGAAGTTTTTTTTTCCAAAGTCCATTGTAAATATATGTTTTTAATTTTTTGTTCTGTGCCCCGTTCCCACGAGGGAGACCCAGTTTCTTTTACTCCCTAAATTTTCGCGTCCCGGGGCGACGCGCGATAGGTGGGCCCAGGCCCTATGTAGGGCAGCCTTTACCCGGGCTGCCCCAGAAAGCCCATGCTTTTCTGCCCCGCTTTGTTCATATTTCGCGCCCCTTAGGTTTTGCCCTCTATAGGGCCTTGCCACTTTAGTAAGCCCAGACTTGCCTCTCACTCACTCCCAGCGGCCTAGCAGGAAGTCACAACTTCTCCCAGTTCTCTCTCGTGGGGCATGGCCCCGCCCCCGGGCCCTTTGGGCCCCAAACCCCACAAGCCTGTGAAAACCCCCCATTAAATTAAAAAAAAACAAAAGCCTCCGAAAAAACAAAATCATTTTAAAACCCCCCTACAGCCCACCCAAAAAAAAGTCGTTATAATGAAGTGGTGATGGTTGTGATGGTTTTTATGAGTGTGTGATGATGTGTGATGTTTATGAGTGTGTGATGAGTGTGGAAAGTTTGATGAGTGTTTGTGATAGTGTGGGGATGTTTTTATGAGTGTGGTGTTTGAGAGTGTGTGATTTTTTTTGATGAGTGTGTGATGATGTGGTTTGGGGAAAAGGGGTTTTATGGGTGTGTGATGGGGTGTGTGATGTTTGATGAGTGTGATGGAGTGTGGGTGTTTGACGAGTGTGTATGTTTGTGAGTGTTGGGTGAGTGTGTGATGTTTGATGAGTGTGTGATGAGTGTGTGATTTAGTGTGTGGTGACTGTGGTGATGTTGGGTGGTATTTTGATGAGTGGGGTGAAAGAGTGTGATGAGTGGGGTGGATGATGGTGTGATGAGTGTGTGATGAGTATTTGATGAGTGATGAGTGTGTGGTTTAGTGTGTGATGTGTGGATGAGTGTTTGGGTGAGTGTGTGAAAGAGCGTGTGATAGTGTGTGATGAGTGTTTCATGATTTTTTGATGAGTGTGGGGAGTGTGTGATGGGAAAAATGCTTGGGGATGAGGGGTGTTTGTGATGATGTGTGAAGAAAGTGCTTGTGATGGTGTGTATGTTGGATGTGTGATGGAAAAACTTTCTTTTTTTTATGAGTGCGTATGTGGAGTGTTGGGATGTGATTATGTGTTTATGAGAAACTGCTTGTGATGAGTGGGTAAGTGAAGAGTGTGTGATGAGAGCTGCCCTTTGATGAGTGGGGGTGATTTAGGCTGCTTGTGATTTAAATGGGGTAAAGGGGATGATGTTGATGAGAGCTGCCCTTTTGATGAGGTGTATTTGGGTGAAATGGGTGATGAGAGCTGCTTTGGGGTGGTGTGTTGTGATAGTGTGTGATAGAGCTGCTTTGATGAGTATGTGTAATAGTGGTTGTGAAAACGGGGAGAGAAAATGTATGGGAGGTGTATGAGTCATTTTCTACTGAACTCCACCCGGAGTATTGACCCCCTGACGTCTACTGACTCACCCTACAACACACACACACACACACACACACACACACACACACACACACACACACACACCACACACACACACACACACACACACCACACACACACACACACTACACACACACACGTGTACTGATAAAATGGTGTGAGAGATGGCAACTCAGAGAGGATAATAAAAAGAGTGAAGCACCTGATAAGTAGTCGCTTACCAGCACGACCTGAAACATTGTAAACACACTCTCTCTCACCCATCAGAGAGAGAGAGAGAGGGGGGAGGGAGATGCTGCAAATGAGGGAGTAGGACGAAGGTTAGATGAGCAGGTAGGAATATGTGGATGCAGTAATATCTAACAGGTAGTAAACAGAGAGTGATTCTCTAGGCAGAAGTGTGAGAATGGTAACGTGTGACATGTGGGGTACCTCAAGGATCAGTACTGGCACCTCTACTGGTTCTCGTGTATGTGAACCACATACTTGAGGATAATACACTCTAATGTGTATTATCCTCCAGTATGTGAGGTGCACGTTACTTACGGTGCACTTAACCTGAGGTGCACGTCACCTGAGATGGACATCACCTAAGGTGCACGTCACCTGAGGTGGACATCACCTAAGGTGGACATCAACCTCAGTAATATCCATGGGTAAATCTCACTGAGAAACCTCATCACAATCATCAACAACACTGTACACTACATAGTGTACACTCGCACTCCACTTACACCCTCTCACCTACCAAACCGCCCACTGATCAGCTACCCACCCACCCTCCCTCCCACTAACCCTGCTGGTGCCAAGGGCAACAAACAGGACAACCAACCTGCCCTATACCCCAACACCCACCCACCCACTCATTCACCCACGCTCTTGTGGTGGTAACAGGTGGTGATCAACACCCACCTGGCCAACCAGCCACTCAAGCTGCCGCCCTCAACACAAAAAGTAAAGTTTGACTCACTATTACCATGTTGCTCTGCCAGGGTATGTGGCAGGGTGCTCTACAGGGGCAGGGTGTTCTACAGGGGCAGGGTACTCTAACAGGATATGGAGGTGAGGCTGGGCAGGAAGGTGAGGCTGGGCAGGAAGGTGAGGCTGGGCAGGGAGGTGAGACTGGGCAGGGAGGTGAGGCCGGGCAGGGAAGTGAGGCTGGGCAGGGAGGTGAGACTGAGCAGGGAGGTGAGGCTGAGCAGGGAGGTGAGGCTGGGCAGGGAAGTGAGGCTGGGCAGGAAGGTGAGGCTGGGCAGGGAGGTGAGGCTGGGCAGGTAAGTGAGGCTGGGCAGGGAGGTGAGGCTGGGCGGGGAGCTGGGGGGGAAATCACTTTTTTCCCAAAAAAACCTTTTCCTTTTTTAAAAAAA